GAGACGGCAGGTGCCCCAACCAGGCTCCTCGCTACCTGCCCCAGCAGCCACGCTACAAGAATTGTCCAACTTTTGCCTGAGGTGCTCCCCGAATGGATTCAAATAGTAAACTTCATAATAACATTGGGTATGGATATGGTCTTCAATCAAATCCAGAGCAGCAATGGGAAAGGGTATGTAAATAACTGTAATCTGATTTCAGGTTTTCAAATGCAGATTTTCCTTAAAACCATTTTTTTGTGTTTCAGGCATCACAACACTGGAGGTTCTACAGACTGCTTGCAACTGAGCCATTGCATTGACTCGTCAAATTAACAAATAAACTTTACTTTGTTTCCTGTAATCTCTTCAATGAATTATCCTTTTAGACAACTGTGAGGTTTAGCATCAAGTAGTGATCTCACTGAGATTACATCTTTTAGGTCAGGTTTTGGGGTTGCAACCTGAAACGTTTGGTTTGTTGGTTGAGGTTTCAGATACACTCGGTGTATCTAACTTTGTTTTAGGCCTGTTCAGAACTCCACTGCTGTACACCCTACCATCACCCCAATGACTGTATTGTGGGCAAGAACTTTTGCAACGTGCAAACCTTGTTTAAAATGTAGTATATAGTATTTTGTATTCCCCCGTTGCTTATCATTACAAGGCGCATCCAGGGAGAGGTGCGTGACCAGTTTGGGGACCCCAGAATTGCGTCCCTGCTTTATGCAGATGATGTGGTTCTGTTGGCTCCTTCAGAACGCGACCTTCAGTGTGCACTGGGGCAGTTTGCAGCAAAGTGTGTAGCGGTTGGGATGAGTCGGTACCTCTAAGTTTAAGGCCATGGTTCTCTGCTGGAAAATGGTGGATCGCCACTGTCCAAGTGAGGGAGTAAAAGTATCTTGGGGTCTTGTTCATGAGTGAGGGTATAATTGAGCAAGAAATGGACAGACGTTTCTGTGCGGCATCAGCAGTGATGCTATCGTACCGGATCTTTGTGGATTAAGAGGGAGCGGCGCTGGAAGGTAAACATCTCAATTTAGTTTTCATATTTGCTGATAACTCAAACACGCTCCTTTTCGTTCCCAACAGTTCTGACCCACTGTCAAAGTGTTTGAGGGCTCTCTGGCAGACATTTTGAGCCCTAATCTAATGCTAAGTCAGCATTAGATGCCGACTTTGCCAAAGGGAATTGCCAACAAATCATTGCAATGTGACGTTAAACCTGGGGTAGCTAGGGAAAGCAGCGAGACATAGAAGGTAAACAAAGACGACTCATGTGTGTTCACCACAATTGTACATCTTATTTTTTGTCATTGTCATGGTAAAGTGATATGTTGTGCAAAGTGCTGTTCCACTCTTATTTACACCATTTCAAGCCCACAGTCTCTTACACTCAACCACTTACCAGGTGACGTCAGTAAGTCCCTGAGGGTTCGAGGCTTTAGGGGGGACATTGGGATTGGGCCTCTATACCTCGTCTGTTCTGGGAACGCCTCTGGATTCCTTGGAAGGATCTGGAAAATGTTGCTGTGAAGAGGGACGTCTGGAATACCCTCCTAAGCCTGCTGCCCCCGTGACCCGGCCCGTGATAAGCAGAAGAGAATGGAAGGATGAACATTTGTCTTGACAGCTTTAGTTGCTTTTGAAATGACAGTTTTTCACCCCCTTCGTGTCTAGGGAAAACCACGTATCTCCAGATGTGTTGATGTTGAATATTCCTTTATATGTTGAGAAAATCCTCCTACTTCTTCAGCTAAATAAAGTCTTTAAAAAGCCTCTTGGATCAGCTGGAAAATGCATCGTCACAAAGCTGAAAACATGAGATGCGTGGTTCTCACAGGACGGTGATGCTACAGACATGTATTATAGAATATGAATTATTGCTGTAGATTAATTCTGAATAGTTCTTCCACCATTGTGTTTTCTATTGTTATCCCTTACACAGAACTCATATTACAGGTGACTCCCTCCCAACTAATGGACACCCTGCTGTACATAATAAGCATTACACAACAGATGATGAAGGCCTAAATAAATGATTGACACCTCGTTGCCCCAACTGGATTGCATTGATCAGTGTCTCGGCCAATCAGATGAATACATTGAGCTGCTGTGGGCGGGACCAGAAGTAACTGTTCAGCCGTTTTTTTAATTAGCTGTGAAAGTGAAAAAGTAGCCGCAACAGCTCTTCAGAGACTTGAATGAACTGATATATTTGAAAGTTGGAAACTAGCCATTTGTTTGTTAAAGTGCCCTTGATAAAAATTAGTATATATAATACCAGTCGAAACCTATGTTAGGCCTTTGAACGAGCCTTTCCTAGTTAAAATAATGCAGCGGTTCCCTCACGTCAGTTAATTAGCCACACCTGACTTCAACTGCTCACACCTGTGTCCAGTTAATCATCACGGTAAGATGGGTGAGCTTAAAACGCTTCAGTAACGCTCTGTTTTCACTCTGGTTCAGTTGTGTGGTTTTGTAGGAGGAGTGATTGAGTTTGCTGTGTCACTGGCCTACAACTGTGGCTGAAGCCATGGGGTTTATCTTGAAGTAAGTTTTAAACTTTATTCTGTTTAATTATTTAAGTTTTTCCACTCATTAGTAAATCACAGTAACTCTGGGATGTCTTGTCTAGATGGTTTCTGTTGTCCTTGCTA